AGAAAGATGAGGCGGCTCACTGCTCGGAGAGTCCCTGATGGGCCCATTGTAGATTACGCATCGGCTGGCGTGGGAAGGGAGGCTGAGGGAGGACCAGCTGAATGAATCTATCCTGCTTACGACACTCCTAGGACCTTCTTCCTCAGCCTCCTGCCAGCCAGCACTCTCCGAACAGCGTGTGTGCAGGGGGCACTCTTATTCATTCAGCTACTCCCACATTGATTCATGAAATCATTCATTCACCTTTATCATTCAACACCTGGGCTTGGACCAAGCTCAGGCCTTGGGTCAAGTCCTGGGCGACCTCGAGGACCCTAAGGCCAGGGGGTGCAGACAAAAAGGGCACTTTACAGGGTCCTGGGCTGCACAGTGGCCCAGTGATCAGGTCCAAGGGCACTGGCCCCTAGAGGGACCCCCACCCCTACCCCATGCCACCTCTTCACCCTCCCAAGCCTCTAGGGAGTGCGGACCACTGGAACTGTTTGCTTGAAGCGAGGAGTATCAGGCAGCCAAGGACACTTGGTGGTCAAGGTCTTGGGGGTCACAAAGACTGGGGTTGAAACTTCTCAGCGTGAGCCAGTTTCTCTACTTTACCAGCTGCCCTGGCCTCAGGTGACTGCTCTGTCACCCACAGGTGCACATCCCCCTAAGGTCCCCTGCCCTCCCTCAAGCACCTGCCTTCTTCCCTCCCACCCCCACAGAGGAGGAGCCACCTAACCCCGCCTCTGCACGCAGCATCACCTGGTGTCCCTGCAAACAGCTGACTCCTTGCTTGTCTGGCACCTGCTGGAACAGACTCATCCTCAGGGCAGCGACTTCAGTTCCCCACTGAGGGGCAGGGAGGAGCGGCCAGTCTTCCACGGAACACTCCCATGGTAGAACTGAGAGTAATCTCATGCAGGTACCATTCCTGGCCTCAGTGAACAGCTGACACAAGGCTCAGAGAGGTCAAGAAGGTATCCAAGGTCACACAGCAACAGCAGAGCTGCGGGAGGGGAGCACACCCAGCCTGACGTCCTGGCTAGTGTCTTTTGAGAGAGCTGTACAAGGGGTAGTGAGAGGCTAGGTCACCTGGCATGCTGGTTGCAATGGGGACTGATCCACAGCCCACTGGACTTTTTTCTGATGCCCTTTTAGTGTCATTTGAAGGTTTAGTTAATTTCTGAAAGACACATAAAGGACCAAGAAGGTGTGGCCCATGAGATGTCTCCTCCATAAGCCTGTCCCCAGGCTGGGTGGCAACTGGCCTTCATCCCCTGCCCACCACCCTCACCACTGAATCTGACCAAGACAAGGCGTGTGCCACTGGGAGGCCGTGGCTGGATGTGAGGGAAGGAATAGGGGACAGCAGATGGGCGCACACGGGCCTTTGCGAGGCAGCTGTCAGCACAGGGGGCGTGCTGTGTCAGGCCTTTCTGTGGGCTGTAGTCACGTACTGCGGGGGACCGGGGATGCCCTCCCCCTTGCTTTACACTACACCTGCTGCACCTGCTTCTCCCGCAGAGCCCAGCCCCACACCTGTTCTTGCTGGCTCCACCAGCTCTTCCCCTGGCATGAACTCTCAGGGGTGAGCCTCCAGGCCCCCCTGCCACCCACACGCCTGCCTCATTTGTTTCCTCTTGTGTCTGACTCCCTACACAGCTTCCCTTTCCAGCCTTTGTCCAAGCTGCCTGTCTGCCCATACACGCCAGAACCTTCTCCTGCAACCCACTTAGGAGGAGATCTTCAAAGTGGGGGTACACAAAACCCTCCCATGAGAATTCTGAAAGCGGGGGCACATTTTTGAGTTGGCATCTGAATGTTTTCATCCTAAGGGTGAACAGCGACAAAAGGACGTGATTCCCAGCGTTCAGTGTGCCGACCGTGTGCCTGAAAGAACATCTCCACACCTTGGAGCTGCACCGTCATCTCACGCACTTGCCCAAAACTCCACCTACAACTCCACCATGTGCACCAAATGGCAGAGCCAGCCCTGCCCCCCAGCCCCCACTGCATGGCCAGGTCAGACGGACAGCCAGCCGAGCCCATTCTCCCACCCACTGTGCACAAATGTGAGCCTTGCCCCTTCCTTTCTAGTTTAAGATTAGAAAGGAAGAGTTACAGACAGAGAGAGTTAGACATGTGAATACGCGTGCACACACACATGATTTTTTAAAATCCAGATGCTGGTTCATTCCCCACACCACTACAACAGTGAAGACCAGGCCAAGCCAAAGCCAGGAGCCAGGAACTCCTTCCAGGTTTCCCACATGGATTCAAAGACCCAAGGACTTGAGGTATCTCCTGCTGCTGTCCCAGGCCGGGAGCAGGGAGCTGGATCAGAAGCGAGCAGTGGGGACTTGAAGCAGCCAACATCTTTCAGAGCCTTTAGTGCCTGGTGAGTCTCCTAGGCTGTTTGCCACCTGCCTAAAGCCATCCCCACGGCACCTGGATTCTTTCACATTGCCCCTGCCCTAGCAGGGTTTAGCTTAGTAATTCTTAGAATTTTTTTTAAGTTTATATATATTTATTGTCCTCTCTTGGAAGGCAGAATGACACAGTCTCACTCGCCCTATGGTCCCAGCAGCTAGGGCTGGACCAGGCCAAAGCCAGAGCCTGGCCCTCCATCCTTGCTCCCATGCAGGTGCAGGGGCCTTCACCTGCAGCCTTTCCAGATGCAATAGCAGGGTACTGGATCAGAAGCAAAGTATGGGTCACAACCACCCATATGAGGCACAGAGTTCGAGGCTCCTGCCTTCAGGCCCAGCTTTGGCTGCTGAGAACATCTAGAAAGTCCAGCAGCTGAAGAGCCCTAGGCCAGTGACCTCACCTCTCCCAGCCTCGTCCTTACTGGGCAGATGCGGGTGGTAAGGCCTGTCTCCTTGGGTGTGACACGACTGAAGTGTCTGGAGAGGGGAGAATCAGCTGGTACACCTGTGCGGCAGGTGCTGGGTGCACCGAGTCCCTCCCTCCACTTCCCTGACCTTCTTACTCTCAGCCTCAGCACCTGGTCCCTAACGTCTACACCCAGGGATTCCTCACAGAGCAATGGGTCCTGCTGGGGAGCTGGGGGAGGGGAGAGTTTGGAGAGAGGCAAAAAAAAAAAAAAAAAAAGAAAGAAAGAAAGAAAGAAAAAAAGAAAACCTAAACAGGAGTAGGAGCAGGGGCACTCATCTCAGGAGAGCCACTTGGTCCACACACAGCAAACACAAGGAAGAATTCTCTGTGGTTCTTCTAGGATCAAAACATCCCACTTGCTCTTAAGATCTCCTGTGGGTGGCAGCAGCCCAGCGGAAAGGCTACTTTGCCCACTTTCAAATCTCAAGTAACTATTCTATTCGAATCCTTCTCTGTGTGGCTTTGCCATGGGGCTAGGGCCGGAGCAGCCTTCCTCCAGGGCTCACCACACTCACACGCATCCTGGTGCTAAAGCGCAGCACCTTCAAAGCCACGTGGCAGCCACAACTTCCTGTCCCTCCTCCTCCCCCACCCCCCACCGCCTGTACAGCAGGTGCCGCTGCATCTCAGGGTGGGGCTTAGCTTGCTGCCAGGTGCACCCGGGAGCAGCACAACACAGCCCCTTACTAGGGTGCCCTGAGAGTGACCTCTAAAAGGGCCTGTTGGCAAGCCATCATCACCACCATCCCTGCCTTTGCCATTGCCAAGTCTCAAGTGCTCTGTCAGGCTCTGCTTAAGCAAGATTCTCCTTTGGGAACCATGCCCACCCACTCCATTCACATCCCCCAATGTACATGGCATGCAGGTGCCTTCCCCAAGAACTTGGGGGTTAAAAACTCAGCAGCTGGGAGAGCACCTGTAATATCAGGAATTACTAACGCAAATACAAGGCTGCCTTTCATTGAGCAGCATGATAAGTTGGGGCGTGGCGGGAGCAGGAAGGGCTGCCAAAGGTGGCGACTTTGAGCTGATCTTGAAGCACGAGAGACCTTGCAAAGGGTCACACCTCTCAGCAGAAGCCTTTTCTGGAGCCTCCACCCCACCCCTGTCATTCGCACAGCTCCAGCCCACCCTGCCCCTTTCCAGCTTGAGCACCTTTCTTCCACCCTCTGAGCCTTGATGGTCCAATCCGTGAAGTGGGTGTTAAGTCCACATTTCCTAAGATCTTACAGAACGAGTCTTCTTGTGGAAGCCAGTGTACTCTGAGGACCTGGACACTTAGGCACAGGTCTCCCCTCCCTGTCCCACCCTCCTTCCCCCGTGACTGTGGCCCAGGTGCCTAGACAGATGTGGCCAGCAAGTCCCTGCATGAGAAACCCCTATCACACACTCTCTCTCTGCCTAGCTCTTCCCACACCTAAGCCTTTCTAACCCATGAATCGGAGCCTCTCTGCCTCAACCAGGTTTCCTGAACCCAAACATCTCCCCACCATTCTCATCTTGTTTTACTTCCTTCCTGGCTTGAGACGCCACCCGCACCTCTACCACCGGGCACCTCCAAGGCAATGCGGAGCTTGTCTGACCCCAGAGATCCAGCCCCGGGGCTTGGCACACACCCCCTGCTCAGCAAGCGTTAAGAACACCGTGAATGAAAGCACAGAGTGGACAGCGCCTACGTTTGACCTCCTCGCAGGCACGTGGAAGGTGGGGTGGGGAGACGGCCACCCCCGGGGCCCAGCATCGTGGGTGAGGTGTTTTCAGGTTCTTCCCCGCTCCCCGCCCCAGCAGCTGCGGCTAGGGGGGGCAGGCTTGGCCCTCTAGGGTCTGCGAGAGAACCAGGCGCACAGTAGGACTTCTCAGAGTCAAGGCCGGCGCGCGACGGGCCCAGTCTCTGCGCCGACACCCAGCAGCTCCACGCGCCTCCCCGGGGCCCGGGCGCGGGAGCGGCGAAGGCGGGAGGCTCTGCTGTGCCTCTCCCGCCGCCCGGTGCAAACTTTCAAAAGATGCGGCGGCCGCGGCCCCGCCCCTGCACGGTTGGAGGCGGCAGCAAGCGGAGGCGGAGCCGGCGGGCCCGGGCCGGTGGCTCCGCCTCCTCCTCCCGCCCCGGCCGCCGCCGCCGCCGCCTCCTTGCCGGCGCCCACCCCAGCAGCCGCCCGCCGGCTCGCCCGTGCAGCGGCGATGCCCGGGAGCCCGAGCCCGGCGCCGGCCCCCGGCCCGCCGCAGCGTTAACCTCCGCGCTGCCCGAGCGCGCCGCCGCCGCTGACCTCGCGCTCGAAGCCGCGATGGGCAACACGGTGCACAGGACCTTGCCAGGTACGGCGGGAAGCCCTGCCCGGATAGACTCGTCCTCTCCTCCTGGGGACCAGGGATGGCTCTCCACCCCCCAGGGAGCCTTAGACGCGTCCGGGGCGGGAGCCTGCGGTGCAGCCAAGACCCGGCTCCGCGCGCGTCCCGTGGCAGGGCTTTGCGCTCCGGCAGGGCGGCAGCGCGTCCCGGTTACCTTGGGGACCCCCGGTCCTCTTCTCCTGCCTTTGGTTAACCGAGCACAAGGGCAGCGGGGGATAGGGTAGGGGGGCAATGCCGTGCGCCCACTCGCCTTTGTTCCAGCCCCAGGGAGCTCTAGGAGCGGAGCCTAGGGCAACCCATAGGGTGACCGAAGCCGGGCTCGCCTGGGCTTCCGACGGCCAGAAAGCCGCCCGCTGGGTGGACGCTGCAGCTGCCAGGGCTTGCGGGCGGAGGTGGGGAGGGGGAGGTGCTCGCAGGGGTCCCCCGGTTTCCAGCAGCCCAGCGCCCCCGCAGCACATGCTTGCTGCCTGTGCTTGGCCGCGTTCCCACGCGCACCCCGGCGGCGCCCCCCTCTGGTGTCGGCTCAACTTGGGTGGGGAGACCGCGGGCGGGGAAGGTGGGCGGCTCCTGTAGCCCCCCTGGGAGTTGCTGCAGCATCGCCCTCTAGTTAGAATCAACCCGTAGTTCTTGGGCGTGCAGTGAAGGGATCCAGAGTGGGGCCGAGGGTGGTCGGGAGAAGGACGAGGACCAGGAGGCGGAGGAGTCCTTCCTGGGAAATACCTGTCATTGTGGGAAAGGACCCGAGTCCCCGCCTGGGCTCTATGTCCATCCCTGGTTTTACAGAGGGGAAATAAATGGAAGGGCAAAAAGCATGGGAAGTCCCAAGGTCGTAGGGCTGGTGCCCAGGCCTGTCTGCCCACACCTAGAGACCTGTCCCTCGAGTCTTTAGCAGTATTTTGATGTAAGGGCATGCATGTGCAGCATCCTCTGGGCGATGGCGAAAAGTGTGTATATTGTCGGAGGTTCTGCTCCCCAGGAAAGCTATTCTGCTGGGCAGCAAATTCAGGGCGAGGTTTTAGAACGGGGGTGCATGGGCCCCCTTTCTGCTCTAAGTTCCCACAGAGCCCATTCTTGTAGGCATCCATGCAATTATCCCAAAAAGAAGTGTGTCTTCCTTCCCTACCCCACCCCCACCGTGGAGTTCCTGTGGGTGGTGGCACAGCTGGGGTGCCCAAGGCCGGCTTGTGGAAGAGGACTTTCGGGCAGGTGCACCCAGGCAGCAGTCCAGGTGTGCTTGCTGGACCACCCGTGGGTGTGGCAGGACCCATGGAGTGGAGGACCCGCCCTGCCAGCGGACGAATGGCCACCAAGCGGACAGCAGATCTTTTAGCCACAAAGATACTGGGCTGGGCTGTTGTTTTGTTTTCATTTCAAAAGTTGGTGTTGTCCTAGTGGGCAAAAGCCATTCTGTCACCCGGAAGGGGGGCAGTCTTGAGGTAGGGAGTGGGGTGGGGCTGATGCTCATTGGGTATGCTCAGTGAAGCCAGAAATGGATGCATTATTTGTTCCTTGGAGCACTGCCGGCTCCGCGGTGTGGACCACCCTGCAGTGGGACACCTGAGTAACGTGGTCCCCTGGTGCAGCGTCTGAGGGTGCAAAGTTTGTGCCCTGGGCCTGGTAGTTTGAGTTCTTGGAAGAGGCTCTTGAGTCACGTCAGCTTACAGGTGCCAAGAGGACAAGGGTTCCCTACCCAGCCATGATCAGTTTCATGCACACATTGTACCGTTTTTTTATACCCTTGTGCTCAGCAGGTGGTGCTGCCCAGGCCTGGAATAACCTTTCCAAGTCCAGTTCAGTTGTTCCCTCCTCCAGGAAGCCTTCCATGACTACCTTCCTCCTCTCCCATACAGCTCCCATACACAGCCCCATCCTTTGCTGGGCTACCTGGGAAAGCTTCCTAAGTCTGCTTATTCATCTCATCATGAGTTGTCATCGTTGCCCATCCCCATGATTCTCTTTGGGGTTCCCTGAGGACACAGCCCCCAGTCTGGATCATCTTGTCTCTATGGTTGCCCGTTGTTGAGCCTGGTGCCTGGCAGAGGCTCAGAAGCCGGTGGTGGAGCATACATACCACATGCCCCTCAGAACGCTTGGCTCGGCCTGGCCCTGGAAGATCCTTGTGCTTGCACTCTCAGAAAAAGGACTCGTGTGTGGGGTTCGTTCTGCAGGCCTGGAATAGAGAGCTGGCATTTGCAGAGCACCTGGATTTCGTGCCAGGCTTCCTGCATATGTGGCTTCGCTTCCACACCCAGCACGCCTCTCGCCTTCAGGCGGCTACACTTGCCTGCAATCTTCTTCTCCCAGAGCGGCGTGGGGGCTCCCCTCTCACCCCCTGGTGGGTCCATGCAGCCCTTAGCCCCTGCCCCCTTGGCCTGCTTCTGGGGCGGGGGGCGCCTGCAACACGCTGTGACTCACTGTGTATCCCCTCTTCATTGTCTGCGCTCCCCACCCCCACCCCGCTGCAGGTAGAGTTCAGTCTGTTTTGTTCACGCTGTATCTTCAGCGCCTGGAGGTGGGCAGGTGCTTCAAGAAGTTCGTAGAATTCAAAGACCAGTTTATTCAGGTACAGAACATTTTGAAATCCCTGCATACAAGAGGGCTTTGGAAAATTCTTGGAAATACCTGCTGTATAAAACCTCTCTCTTTTGCTACTTTAATCAACTAATCTTTTGATTCTGTGTCTCTATGAACTTTGAAAGCACTCTCATTTGTTGAAGGAATGAATGAAAGAATGAATGAATTCTTCCCACTGTCCTGTGAGGTATTAATCCTCATCTCATTTCACAGATGAAACACAAAATCTGATTAGGGCAAGAAGGCTTGGCCCAGCCCCACACCGTTGGCAGTGCTGGGATGGAAATTGAGGTTTATTTAGCTCCAAAGTTCAGCCTTGTTCCTCCATCTTGCCATAGTCTGCCACCCCAAGGTGAGGTCACATTCAATGGACAATAAGGACCTGGCAGAGAAGGGGCAGGTGCTTGCAACGGGTGCCCGGCTGCACCTTGGGAGCCCACACACAATTTGTGGACTTGGCCTTGCTCTTCACTCTTCTCCATTTTACAGATGAGAAGACTGAGGTGCAGCGAGAGTAGGACATTCGTCTGAGCTCACACAGATAGTAGCAAGAGCTGGGGCTTCAAAGACAGACGTCTGACATTTTTCATTTTTGAAGATTTATTTATTTTTTTATTGGAAAGGCAGATTTTCAGAGAGAAATCTCTTCTGTCTGCTGATTCACAACCCAAGTGCCCACAATGGCTGGAGCTGAGCTTATCCGAAGCCAGGAGCCTCTTCCAGGTCTCCCACACGGGTGCAGGGTCCCAAGGCTTTGGGCCGTCCTCGACTGCTTTCCCAGGCCACAGGCAGGGAAGCCAGGTCATAAACTGGCACCCATATAGGATCCCAGCATGTTCAAGGCAAGGACTTTAGCCATTAGATTACTGCGCTGGGCCCAAAGGTCTGACTTCTACCACCACCTGCTGCTTCTCTGTGCACTCCAGGTCCCGGGTTGGCGGGAGGACGGGCTGTTCCCTGTCTCCCACTAGCATGTACTAGTCCGTTCCCGCTTGTGCCTTTAGGACCCAGCTGGAGTTCTGGTTGGTGAAGAGGCTACATTCAAACTGCCTGTTGGGTTTAATCATTAAATTGATCCAGGCTTGACCAAGCCTACAGCCTTTGGAGTGCTGCCTCCATCGTGTGTGCCCCAGGGCTCAGAGCCAGGAAAGCGTGAAGGCCCTGGTCTATGCCAAGCCCTGGCGTGGCTGGGTTTAGTGTGTGTGTGTGTGGCTGAGTTACACAAAGAAGGGTAGGGTAGTCAAAGAGAAAAATCTTTCATCTACCAGTTCATTCTGCAAATGGTCACAATGGCTGGGGCTATACCAAGCTGAAGCCAGGAACCAGGAGCTTCATCTGGGTCTTCTACATGGGCGCAGGGGTTCAAGCACTTGGGCCATCTGCTTTCCAAAGTACATTAGCAGGAAGCTGAATCAGAAGTGGAGCAGCCAGATCTCCAACTGGCACCCATATGGGATGCTGACATCCCATCAGTGACTTTACCCATTATACAGGGTCTTTTGGTCACCTGTTGTGTGCCAGGTTCTGCAAATGTGATGGACGCTGCCTGTCCTGGAGTTGGCCGTGGTGGAAGGGGGCCATGTGTGCTCATAGAATGGGAGCAAGTAGGCAGGTCCTGCCCATTGTGCCTCAGAGAGGCAGCGGCCAGTAGACTGCCTGCCTTGGGCTGTGACCAGCTTTGAAGAAGCTTCTTAGTGACACAAAGAATAAGAAATAAAACATCAGCATAGACTCAGACAGTAGGAGTGCTTCGCCAGCACACCGTCAGTTGTGCAGTGTGTTGTGTGTGATGCTCACGTGTGTTGTGTGTCTTGCCATGTCACTGTGTTTCTCTCCGTGAGTGAATGATGGTGAGTCCTAGGCTACAGGTGAGCTGCAGAGGGCAGGCTCTGTCTACAACACAGAGGTTGGGCTCAGGCTGCCACGGTTCGTGAGCACTGTCTGTCTTAGTTTCCTGGCCATGAAACTGGGAGATGGGGCGTCTCCCTCACCGCTGGTGGCCACAGAACTCTGACGGCCATGGTCGTTGTTGCTGCTATGGGGAGAGAGGCTTTGAGCCTGCCCTTGGGGTCCCTGTGCAGTGCTGGCTGACAGGTGCCCACCACGCCTTACCTTTAAGGCCCTGCTGCAGGTGCCTGTGAGTGTAGAACCCAAGGCCTGGCTGGGAGGTTGCAGTGAGTGCTGGAGCACTCAGGCAGGGCTTTCTGGAGGAGGTGTGCTCTCTCTAGCCGAGACCTGAGCAGAGGAGAAGGGGATGGGAGAAGTTATTCAAAGCAGAGGAATTTGAGTGCCAAGGCCAAACAGGTCAAGCAGGACATGTGTGGCATTCTGGGCGGGGAGTCTCAGAGACAGTGGGCATGGCAGGAAATGAGGTCACAGTGGTGGACTGGGTT